CCCTGACAGCATAGCTCCTAGGATCATTCAGGCGCACAAACTCCTCCACCACAATAAGGTAATTTAAAAATAAATGTTACAATGATGAAAAGAAAGTGACTTTTTGTCCAAACGTTCAAGGCATCATTCTTTCTCACTTTTACAAATAAATAAATAAATAGTGATACAATAATACATGTGAGAAAATTATTAACTGAATGTTGATACATTTTAGTCACATCCACTGTTAAAAGTAGTCTTGTTTAAACATTTTGAAAGTTAAATTTGATAATGTTAGCCATGTTTATATACAGTATATCAGAATCAGAATAAACTTTATTGGAATTGCACCGAGATACAACGCGAATATGTACGTACAGTCGTCCGAAAGATGGGCGGAGTGCACGAAGCTGCAACTGTAGAAAGCGCGGCCATTTTATCCTTATCAGATAATAATCTTAGATAGGAAATGGGGTAGAAACATGAGGGTATATAGTGGTATTACAAAAAAAGATCTTTCACATCTTGTCTATTAGGACACAATTTGAGACATCAAAAAACTCTACCAGCAAGCACAATTAAAACATGATTACATTTGCATTTGACATCGAGGTGTTGAGATTTGTCCATGAGCGTTTTTCAGATCAGCCACAGTTTCTGAAGATGTTGTTCCAGCGGACAGTCCTGATAAGCTTGCACAGAAAGTTCACAGAAAGATAGATGAAGCTTTTGGCCTTGGGTACTTATGTCCCAGGAGAAATTGATAGTCGGCCTGTCTCCGAGGCCGTCGGGAGTCAGATTTAGATAAGCTTGATTCTTGCTATTTCTTCAGGCGGACAGATTACTTTTTCTTCAGCCTTGAGTCCATATAGTACAGTATATTAAAAGTTCAACAATTTCCTGCAGGATCAATAAAGTTCTATCTTATCTTATCTTATTATTTTGAGTCCATAATGAACAGTTGAGGTAAAAACATTTGATCCTATCAACACAGACACATTGTTTTCTGTGCAGCGGTTATGATAAAAAAAAAAGTATTTTGATCATGCTTCATAAATTTGGAGAAAATGGGCTGGGAAGAGATGTATCTAAAGCTGGAGTGTGTGGTGGATTTTCCTACTCTATATTGTCTCAACACAGAAACAGGTGAAATAAAAGATGCCTTCAAAAATGGTCTTTGAATTTGTTTATTATAATAAACAAACCCTGTGACCCAAAAAGGAAAAAGTGGGTAAAGATAATGGATGGATGGATGGATGGATGGATGGATGGATAATAAACAGACACAGACATCATATAGGATGCTTCACACAGTCTGTGGAGGAAGTGTGTGTGTGACAAAAAGTTCAATCTAGTTTTATAGCTCTCTGTGAAGACATGCACATAATGTGAATTTATATTTAAGGTAAGATACAAAGTTCTCTGTGACAAGTGTCAAAATTGAAAAATGTAAATGCTTTTGAAATAGCTAAACTATTAAAGAGGTGATGATCAATATTTAAAAGCTGTGGTTTAAAGCAACTATGAATTTATAATTTCCAGATGTTTAACTTGTAACACCAGAGGCAGGAATAGAAAACCACTTAATAAGAAGTGGTAGTTTCAAAGTTGGATTAAGAAATGCACGTTAGGAGATGAAAAAAATTTAAAAGAACATGAATTGAATGTGACTACTGATGGTACTGAAGAAATATGTTTTTAACTGATATATGACCAAACCTTCAGCACCTTCACCTTGAAGTGATGTTCATTTAAGACACCACTGAACCTGCTTAACTGCAGCAAAGCCCAGAATCATAATACCACTACTTTTCTCCCTTGACCTAATCCACATGTTGAGAGCTTGTGCATCAGTTAAAAACATAAAGTTGACCGTCTGAGATAACAAAACACCTTTAGGCAGGTTTTAAGATACTGTATTGATTAAAATTGTCAATGATTTGTGAATGAATGAATGTCTAAATTTATGAAGTAATTATATATAAAAAAGACGAAGGGTCACGTAAGTTTCTGAACAGTTACAAACAAGCAAAAATTTGGTTTGGTACTTTATTTGTGTTGTCTCTTTGTTGCCCTTTCTCTGACAACCGAGAACAAGTTAGTTTGGAAAAATTCTTTGACGCGCAGTTGCCTAATAATCCCACATACCAATTTGTTGCTCAAAACTATGCACATATGGGAAACAAACAAAATATTCTCGAATGAGGTTTAATGACACTTTAAGTTGTTTGGTGGTGCTGTGTTTTGTCAGAAACCTGAATGTGGTTCTAATAAATCCAGTTTTACTTATACAGGTGTGAAACAGGATTCGGCACTGGAAGTGACAAAGACCACTGCACCTTTCCATCAGAGCTTTGTTGCTAGGGTTGATGGGTGTGAATTCTTTTTTTTTCTTTTTTTTCAATGGAATATTCCACTTAAAAACAACAACAAAAATTTTAAAAAATCTGTCTGGGTTTTTTTTTTTACATTGTTGAGCGTCGGGCGGCTAGATGAAGCAAAAATGGAAATATTTGATTTTAAGAAGAGAGTCAACACACCAACATTTGAAAAATTCTGCACTTTCATAACCTCTTCTTTCTGGAAATTACTTTTTATTAAGAGGTCACTTGAAATGTGTACGTAAAATACAATAAGTGTACACATATTTTCAGACAAAGTGTAAAGTCACAAATACTGAGCCCCTTTTTAGTATTGTGGTTTTTAAAAACAGTGAGCTGATGAACAATACGTTTTATTATGCAACGAAAACACCACGAACAGAGCAGCACATTCCATACACATCAGTGTCACAGATACGTTTATTTAGGCTCGCACATGGGCCACTCATGGGCCACACACACTTCAGGCCACTCACATGGCCACAGGTGGCCATGTGAGTTCATCTTAGGTAACAGGTGTTTCATGAACTCACATGCTAAGAAACACTTATCCATATGCATGATCTCGTATCTATTCTATGTACATTTTAACACAAGCCAAGATCATTTGAACTTGGGGGAACTTGGTAGATGCCAAAGAGCATGAAAGTTCAAAATCATAGTTAAATAATTAACATAAAAATGAAAAATATTAAAATTCTGTGCTGCGTAGGTTTAAATCCCAAAAACATGTTGACCAAAAGTTTCCCCAGCGCTGTTATTGGATATCCACGTGCATCTGAAAGACATTCCCAAGGCCATGCCATTGGCTAAGTGGGAGCAAGTGATACGTCTCGAGGACTCTTGTCCATTCTGTGTAGAAATGTCACTGTGTTTTCTGCAAGATGGATGCTGCAACTGGACAAACCTTGACTTGAATTAGTATAAAACAGTCACAAGACCATGGGGAACAGATGGAGTTTTGTATTATGTTGGTATTTAGCTTTAACAAAATAAAAAACTGATGAACGCGTGGTTTGAGACAAAAATACGAACATCTGTTTTTAATTTATGCAACGATCAGTGAAACGTCTTGGTTGTAAAACACCTTATTGTTCTCGCGTTGCTTTTCTTGCACATTCTTTCTGGTTCGTGAGTGCCAGCGATTTGCAAAACTGGTTGTTTAACACGCATGTCAGAAAAGGCATGAATGATATTGCTCTTTTTTTTTCTTTATTCCAGACTTGGCCACTTGCGATGAGCGACAAAACTCGTGAGCGCAACGTGTCTACAAATAAAACAAAGCGTTATTTTTAACATAATAATGAAAACTAACGCTGCTCCTTCCGGTTCTTTCATACAGCAGTGCGTGAAACTGAGATCTGACTTCACGAGAAAGAAAGTGGCACCTTTGGGTGGTCGTCAGGAAGTCACTGGTCTGGTTTTAAAGGCTTCTCTGAAGCGGCCTTTTTAATTAGACAAAGTTTAAAAAATAATAATCATAAAATCAAAGCATAATTTACAGTCACAAAAAAGTCAGGTGGACAGAGTTAACTTTTTTGTGATTCATTTACCTGGATGATTGCGCATGCATCAGGACTTAATTTTTAGTCTTTATAATAGATTGCATATAAAATAACTTCAAATAAGTGTTGCATCAAAACTTTACATGGACTCAAACAATGCTTTCTTGTGTGCACGTGAAGCCTGTGTCTTCACGTGCTGAACAATATGTAAACAGACAGCTAGCATTCCTCTAATTCTCCATGCCTCCATTCTTCCATCCCTCCCTCCCACCTTCTCTCTGGTGCACGGATGCCGGTCATTCCACTCCACCTCTCAGTCCTGCACAGGAAACTTCAAGCAGCATCCAAACCTCACACCCATCTTGCTCGCTCAGGAAAACAGGTCAAACCAGAAACACGAGTGAGCCTGTCTGATGGCAACCCCACCTCTAGGCTGCAACCCAGGAGGGGATGGGCTAGGCAACGCCAAAAGTTACCACAGTTGTTAAATGTTTCACAGCTGCTTTGACCTTTAACCTAAATCATCTGGCAGGGACACGTTTGGAGAGGCAGCTTTGATTTAACTGAAGCCAACACGTTCAGCATCAGTTTGAAGTGTAAAACCATCTGAATCCAATCACATTTGTTGTTGATATTGTGAATTTTCACCATTCTGTTCTTGGGCCAACGACTTCTAACTCTCTGACCCCATCCCCTTCATCACCATTCATGAGACAACCCAATCACAGCCAGGCTCTGTCAGGACATGAGGGTGGAGCGAGCACTGAAACAGGGTGTGGTCCTGAAACCTGTAAGGTCTGTAGTAGAGCCATGGGCTTTAAATTCAGATAACTGAGCCTGGTCTCTTAAAAATCACAGCGGATTTGTCACTTTCACTCACTTCTTTCTGTTGCTTCCTCTCTCAAACAGGCTTTTTTTTTTTTAAGTCTCACCTGCAACACTCACCAACTAGTTGGACTCTTTAAAGAAGCTACTTCACCTTTAAGAGAGGCTGGAGGCTACCACTGCTCAGATTAGAGTTGTATGTATCTGGGTTTTTTTATGTTTTTGTCTCACCTGATCCTTCTCACTTGTGACCTGCTGGATTCTCTGGACTGACTACTGGCAGCTCTGGCTGCTCAAACACTTTCCAACTGGGGAAGCTGAAGACTTAAAGAGGTGAGAAACAATAAAACAAGAGCTGAACTTGTAAATCATTACTTCTGCCTTTTTCTTTAAACCGTCAAAGGCTTTTGAAAGGTTCAGTCAGTTTAGTTTACCTCTTCTTCTTCAGTTTTTGGTATTTTCTATCAGTTTAGTGTTGGACTGAAGAAGATTTAGATCAGGAAGCTCCTCATCCCTGAGTTCGTTGGCTGTGCCGGCCACATGGGACAAGCCCTTTGCCTCACCTGTTTGACTTGCTTTGTCAGCTTGGGTATGAACGCTTGTTTTCAAAGCTAGTTCACATGCTTCATAATCGCTCGTCACACTTCTTGGTCCCTTTTTAAGGCGTTAGAAGTGAACTTGGACTGTATAGAAGCTCCTCGTACACCATTTCCCACATGTATTTGTTTAAAAGGCAGCAGCCAGGAGTGTTTGATGAGCCTGTGCAGCTGTCTTCTGTTTGTTCAGCCTGGTGGGAAAGACACAGGTCACTCTGATACCTGTCAACATCACTTTCAGCTCCACCTCTCCTCCTTTCTTTTTTTATTTACTGCTGTTCAAAACGTACTGGTTTTTTTGTGTATTTTTCAGGTTTTAGCTGAACGAAAGGCAAGCCGTCACCATGCTGCGAGAAGCCATAACAAGCGTCGCAAAGTTTCACGGTTATCTGATAAGCAGAACTGGTGAGTGTCCTTTTATTTTTCCTGTCAGTAGTTTTATCGTCAGGAAAGAAAATCAAAGTAGTTTAAATACAAAAAAAATTGGACACGTCTTGTCATGTTCTCTCAAAGGCATTGAGTAACCTTCAATGACAATCTGAGAAAGCCATATAAGGGTGTGTGTGTGTACATTTCCCAGATGCCAGGGTCAAAGATTACCCTCTGATGCAGAGTCCCCTGCAAATGACCAGCATCCTGGTGGCCTACGTCCTCTTCTCCGTGTACGTAGGCCCTCGCATGATGGCAAACCGCAAACCTTTCGGCCTCAACCGAGCCATGATCACCTACAACCTCTGCATGGTCTCGCTGAACGCCTACATTGTGTATGAGGTAATGAAAATGCTATTGTGCTGACTCACACTTGATGTGCTTGAGCAGGTTATGATGACAACTGACGATGAGGTGACTGGTTTTTTTAATTTCTTAAAAAAAAAAACGTTTCCTTTTTTGGCTCTTAGTTCTTGATGTCTGGATGGGCCACCACCTTCACATGGAAATGTGACCTGATTGACCCCACCAGCAGCCCACAGGCTCTCAGAGTAAGTCAGTCAGTCTCTGTAGAAGCCCTTGACAACAATGCTGTCTTTCTTGGAAATAAGATGTGTTCTGTCTTTACCACAGTCTGTAAATGCAGCTAAAGTTCTGGTCATACGTATCTCTGATACAGCTATTGCATGTATTCAGGCTCAAACCAGATATCCCTACCAAGGCTGCTGCCGTTGTTTTTGACCTTGGTACGGATAAACACTTAATTTTCTCTAAAGTGTGCAACTGCTCCCTTCCCTGTTCTACGCTTGGGCCTTCTTACCATTAACATCTGTTTAAAAAGGCCACACCTTATGAGATTTGCTCAACAATAAACGCAAACGTGTACAAGTTGAGTTTTCCAATATATCTACTTGACTGTTGCCAAATAACTTTTTTTTATCTTTTTTTTTTGTGTGTGTGAAAGCTCACAGATATTGATAGATTTTACAATCTTGTCTCCTGCAGATGGTGCGGGTGGCCTGGTTGTTCTATTTTTCAAAGTTTATTGAACTTCTAGACACAGTAAGATTATTTACCTTCTATTGTTCCCCTCATTATGTCTAAAAATACCTTTTTTTTGTTTTTTTTTTTTAAAGCAAAATTTTCACTGCGTTTATTCTTTTTGCTTCAGGTATTCTTTGTGCTGAGAAAGAAGCAAAGTCAGATCACATTTCTCCACGTCTTCCATCACTCCTTCATGCCCTGGTCATGGTGGTGGGGCGTCAACCTCACGCCTGGTGAGATTTCTCAGCATGTCCCACACACCCCGTTTATACATTTCCTTGAAATCTTGTCAGGTTTCTGCCCCATTTAACTTTTACACAAAATGTCTAACAATACTGTAAATAACTAATACCCATAAAATTATTTCTTATGTTTATCTTTATTAAGCTGGGGGAATGGGATCATTCCATGCTATGGTGAACGCAGCAGTCCATGTTATTATGTACACCTACTACGGCCTCTCAGCTGCCGGGCCTCGCTTCCAGAAGTATCTGTGGTGGAAAAAGCACATGACTGCCATCCAACTGGTATGTTTTCACTTTCAACAAATTAATTGACAACCCATCTGAATTGACCTCCTCCTGGAAAGTTTTTACAGCCATTGCTTGCTTTCCTTCTCGCTTTAGACGCAGTTTGTTCTGATCTCCATCCACATCAGCCAGTACTATTTCATGGATCAGTGTGATTACCAGGTCCCACTGTGGATCCACCTGATCTGGATGTACGGCTTTTTCTTCTTCCTCCTCTTCTCCAATTTTTGGGTGCAGGCCTACATAAAGGGCAACCGGCTCCCTGCCATAGATCACAAGTCAAAGCAGAATGGGTCGACCAGTGAACACATCCCTGTAATGTCCAATGGTAAACCCCATGAAAATGGATATGCTAACCACTATGCTAATGGTAAAATCGTCATGGGCAAAGTGAAGGAAATATAAGTTTGTGGCTCTGGAAACAAGGAGGCACAGACGTTTAGTGTATTTTTTTTTATTGTCTTTTTTTTTTTTTTAATCATCTTAAATGTGCCACTTATTTATAACTAGTAGCATATTTGAGAAACAAAGGTTCGATGTGCTACCTCTGATTTGAATTTGTAAATAGATCTCTTCTTTTATGAACTAGTCACCACCGGGATATGATTGGCATACGGTCTTGCCACTGATCTCTGCTTGCAACACTCTGCAAGTTGTTGCAAGACCCGTTAACTGTGATGAACACTGAATGATAATTGGTGCTCATTTTGTCACTGATAGTATTCTTCAACTCAGGCTCGACCTGCAGTACAGTTTGGCTTAACGTGGCCTTTGTTGCTTGGGAGTGTGGCAATGTTTCCACTGGATACAAGTATGTGTAAATAGTCCATTTACCATGAAATGTATGCAAGAAGAAGAAGACTTATTGTAAATGTCAAATATTTAGTTTCTTTTTAATTTATCATTTGAAATAAAACAATTTAGATAAAGGTCTGTGTCATTTAGAAAGCAGTTATGGTGTGCACTATTTGAGCAACATGCTATTTCTGTATTTGTTCTTTAAAATATATGTTAAGGAAATGTTTCACTGTATATTACAGTATTAATGCATTTTTCTTTCCCTTTTATTTTTTATGGTTACAAATTCCTATATTTTAAAATCCCGTATGGTTTCACGTCTTGGCACATAGTGCGTGGTGTCACAATGAAGACAGTCTAAATGGCCATTGATATAAACTTATCAATGTTTGTTCCTAATACAGCTCATCAGAATTAGATGTTTTAAGTTGTCTTTGTATTAATCCGTGACTGCAACGAAAATAAAATAGCTTCCCCAAAAAGCGAAACAAATTGCTCTCTGGTGAGTTTGGTCCAGTTCCACAAAATGAGTCACATTGTTCCCTTTTTGTCTACTGAACAACAGACAAGTCTTTAGATAACTTATAAAACTTGTCCATGGGCTTCTTGGTTTCATTATGACCAAAATTACATTCTGAAGCCAAGGACAAGTAGGGGTGCTGCAGCGCCTTCTGGATGAATGAAGGACATGAATGTAAACAAGTGCTGCTTATGCTTGAAAGTAAATATTTTTAGTTATTATATAGGAGCGCTTCTGTGCAAAAACTATACCACTAAGTGATTTAATACCAGATTGACTTTTTGTCAATTATGGCATATTTATACATACTGTATAGTGTGGTACTCCACACTCTTGGAAACTGAGGTTCCTGCAGCATAGTAATTAAACTATGAAGTAAGTTAATTTTAATGCTCCTTGAAGTTGTCAAGTCTGCTTTAAAGTACTGATGAAGCCTTCTGGATGGAAGGTGAAACGTTTCAGCACACAAAATAAAACTGTCCACATGACCTGACTGAATACTGTTTGATTGTATACCTGGATTATTGAGCATGGACTTAGTTGCTTTAAAGTAGTTTAAAGAAACCCAGAAGGTTGTTAGTGACACCTAGTGGCAGCATACATGAAATATTCTGATCTGGTAATTTAATGCAAAGTAAAATATGAAATGTAAACTTACTGAAAGTAAAACAAAAACCTAGAGAAAAGGGTTTAAAAAAAATTGGACATGTTCCAGTTTGAATTTTCCTTAAATCTTAGTCAATGGAAACCAATGATAAATTCAATTATATATATATACACACACATTATTTATACAGGTAATCATTGAGTCACGAGAAGTCGTTTGAGACCTGTTGAGAGCAAATAGTGCGAGTTAAGGGCCTTGCTCAGGGGCCTAGTGGGGCAAATGAGTGGAAGAAGGCGTTTCATGTTTTCCCACCCACATTTTTGATGACGGTACCAGGAGTTGAACCTGCGACTTTCCGATCACAGACCCATCTTCTCTAACCTCTGCGCCACCACTCCCCTAAATGTAAGTGACAATTTAAATCATTAATAAAATATGCAAAAATAAAAATGCATTAAAGTTGGTAAAGAAACCATTTATTAAAATCTGCTCAGTTTTATACAACAGAAAATTGTATAAATTAAAATTTCAAGATAAAAATGTCAAATAAAAACATGAAACTTGAGTAGCAGCTCTCAACATTTGAAAAACATTAGCACACCATGAAGATCAATAACTACATCATAACCTTTATTGCTGATAAAACATTTGTACAACCCTCATTTAGTATAAACCTCAACGTCTTCAATCGATTGTAAAAATATGGAGCTCTATCTGATGGCGTGACGAAGAACACCACTCGTTGATTGGGCTGTTCTCTCACTGGTCTTCTTTTTGACAGGATCCAACTCGAAGCTCTTCCACAGACGAATCGTTTCATCTCCAGCAACAGTGGCGACAGTGGAGCAGTCAGGGCTCAAAATCAAATTGAGAACTCTGTTCTCATGGCCTAAAAAAAATATATATAAAAAAGTTTAATAAAAACCACAACTTTGAGATCAGTAGAAAGCACTAACAAGTGTTAAACGTGCATGTTGGATGATTAAAATCACAACTCAAAAGTAGTTCATGATCACATTAAAGAAATCGATTTGTGATCCACGTAAATTCCCAGCCTGTTTACAGAGATCAGATCTGTCTTTTAAAACTACTTTAGAGTAGTTCATATTTTATTCTGGTGGAAATTACATTTACAGTACCTGGACATTATGGTGGAAATAAAAATAAAAAAAAGATAATTGAAACAGTTTAAAAAAGGAAGAAGTCAAAGTGAAGACAAGTCAAGTGAATATGCTCAGGCTAATTGGTCATTGGATCGGAACAAAAAAAAAAAAAAAAAAAGTGTAAATAAGAGCCAGTCAAGATGGCTACAACTTACCATTAAGCTCTGCAACTTTGCTAAGAGAAGGATATTTCCAGATGACAACATTGTTGTGAGAATATCCATGGGCAGACACCAGCTCCTTGTAGTTGGGTGCAAATACAAGTGATGAGACCTGCCAATTGAAGACACGCTGTCAGCATCTTAGCTATTAAAGTTCTTGGTTGAAAATTGGGTTCAAAGAGGTGGGGGGGAAGAGAAGAATAAATTAATAAATACAGTAGTCACCTGAGACTGAGTGTCGAGTGAGCTGAGGCAGGAGCCGCTGTTTATATTCCATATGCGGATGTGGCGGTCACTTGTACCACCTCCAGAAGCAAGAATATTTGACTGCCATGGACACCAGGCCAAAGCCTGAAAATAATGGAAATGCAATTTTTATTTTTTTTCCTCAATGGCAGAAAATCAAGCGTCAACATAAATACCACAGACTTCTCTTCTATAAACTGCTTGAAGTAGCTCACCTTGACAGCTCCCTGATGTTCGCTCCAGCGGTGGAGTGGCTCGCTGCCATTTCCCTCATTAACGCGAGGCCACAAGTACACCAAGTTGTCGTTACCGCCACTGGCTAAGTATCGTCCATCTGGGGACCACTTAAGGCCACACACTTCCTGCGAGTGACCATCTAGTGTGTAGATGTGATGATCTGCCACCCTAACGTCATGGTGGTGGATGTGTCCTGATCTGGAGCCACTACATGAGAAAGGGTGAGAAGAAACTGGTATGCAAGAGCGTCCTGATGCTGCTCAATAATCCAGGTAGATAAACCTAACAAGGTTGAGTCAGGTCCTCTGGACTGATTCTTCTTTGTTGAAACTTTTTGTCTTATCCAAAAAACTTCAGTCTGAGGAGCTGCAACAAGCTTAGTCTTATAAATAGATAGTGAAGAAGCCTCCACCCCTGCTTAACGATGGATGAGTTCTCTTCACAAAGATGGCTTCCTTTACTCCTCTCTCAAACTACTGTATTTTTCGCCTTATGAGTCGCAGTTTTTTTTGCATAATTTGCATGCCCTGCAACTTACAGGCCGAAGTGATGCATTTATGCATTTTTTCTCCATATTTAAAAAAAAAACAATTTGACAGAAATATGAGTTTCCATTACTGACTGAAATATTGAACACTACCATTTTCAGCCACTAGATATAAGCAGAGTAGTATAGCATGTCATTGTATCATGCGATAGTTAAAAATGGCTATTCATGACACATTTGGCTCGTCATAGCCTGCCACCGTCGTCTGCCTGGAGCAACCGAATCAGCTTCATTTCGCTGTGCCGCCCTGGCAAAATGACGCTGATTTGACCTTCAAAGTACATTTATTAAAGTAAATGTTCAAATGACACACCTTTACTATAATTTCAAGAAAGCAAATAATTGTTTGAGTGCTAATCTTGTTAAAGTCCTCCCATACACGCTCCAGCAGCCGCCATTTTGCAGCCCACTGATTTTTGGCACAACACCGGCCCACATTTCTGGGTTGTCAGCGGTGATGTGTGGCAAACGCGACGCATCAGTGGTGACGCATAATAGATGCGATGTATACGGTGAAGTGACAGATTTATGGATTTTTCCACTTTATTAGACATATTGGAATTGATGCGACTTATAGGGCAGTGCGACGTGTACAGCGGAATATACGGTAACCAACTCTCTCAAGGACATGAGGCCTCCGTGTTCAACTGTCCCCCCTCTTACAATGTCGTTATTGCAAGTATTGCTCTGAATCATTCACTCTGAATAGCAAGCAGCCATCAGGGCACTGCTCTTTAGGCTGATGGTCCTTTATCATGTGAACAACTAGTTTTGGCCGTCACCAGCAAACTGGTTGATCCACTATGAGAAGGTGCTACTTATAAAAAAAAAAATTAAAAAAATTGTTGCAACTAGTCAAGACATTTTTTTGAAAAGACGAAACCCATCATCATCTTCCTCAACAACAAATCCGTCCAGAGGACCTGACTCAACCTTGTTACATGGAAGAGTATTTAAATTAAGTAAAATTGATAAATCAGCAGCTGATTTGTGTTTTACCATTTTAATCAAATTTACAGTACCTGGACAGAACATGGTCATTCCAGCTTAGACTACCAACTCTAGCTGTGTGACTGGCCATACTGCGCAGCCGCTTCTGATGCTCAACATCCCACAACTGAAAAAAGGGAAGAAAAATAAAACACACAATGCATTTAGTTGGCTTATGGCAAATTCATTACCTCACTTACCTGAACTTTGCAGTCACTGGTTCCAACAGCAAGGTAGCTGCCTTCTTTTGTCCAGGACAGTGAGCAGATGTAGTCTTCCTCGTGCTCCATCTTCATGAGAAGAGTAACATCTCCCACTGTAGCATCCCACAGATACACACTGTTGCATAGAGCCACAGCAAGAAGGTTCTGACTGCTCCAGTCAAGCAGATTTAAATCTGAAACAAAAAACAAAAAAACGGGGGTGGGGAATATTAACTAGTGCATGTAAACTTAAATAAATGTGTCTGGGATCAACAAAATTAAGATGCGCTTAGGTACAAAAAGTAGAAAAATGTAATTACTTACAAAAATCATTACGAATATCAGGAGCATCCAGGATTCTGTCTGGAGTTAAACTGATGTATCTGCTCTTTTTCAGAGAAGCTGGGGTTGTAGCCTGACTGTAGAGGACCTTTAGGTTGTTTTGATAGCCTAGACATAAAGATAAAAGATTAGAAAGCATACACTGAGCAGTTTTAAACACAGATTGTTGTATGTACTGAATCATGTTACCTTCAGGTGCATTCAGAGGCTGCCCTCCAAGGTGTAAAATCTTTGCATCATTAATGTTGTAACCATTAAGTGATATGGACCAAAACTTCTGGTTTTCCTTTAAATACAAACAGCCACGAAGAATAAAAATTAAGCTTTGTGTAAAGGCTGATAAAAGGAAACGTACTAGTTTACTTACTGTTGAGACTGTTGCATTTGCACCCACTGGTTCATTCTCCTTAGTGAGCAGGAAATTTGCCACATCCATTTGTTTGTTGTTCCTGGTGGGAATGTAGCGATCACCTCCCATTTTCGAGGGCGTTTTTTTATTTTTTCCTGCAGTATGAAAAAACAACAGGCAATCGGTTAGGTTACATCGAGGTGCACCCAACGATGCACAAACACCAGTTTAATTAAAAAAAAATTAAAAAACAGACACTACCACCTGGGGTTTTGCTGGGCGTTTTGGATGAACTCTGCGACAAACTGGCAGGTTTTCCGGGCGACAAGCTGCTCAGAGCGGCCGCTGTGTTTGACGAGCTGCCCTTCCGTTGCCACCTCGCAATCACCGGAGCGTTTGTAATCGGCATGTCGAGCTTTAAAATGCTGTGGATATCATTCTCAAATCCAAACTGAGCCATCACGTTTTCGCAAACCTGGACATGAATACAAAACGTTTTATATAGATTTAGGCATTGGCTTTTCTCATTTGTTTTAAGTTCGACGCTTGGGCTACACAAGATGACTTATCTTGCTTTGCTAACAACTTAAACGGTAGTTTCGGCAGCTAGCTACACCGGGTAAATTAAAGCAGTTAAAAAAAAAAACAAATTTCTTGTTGTGTAATTGTAAGTAATCTGTAAGCTTATCAAGTTTTAATTTTATTTTGTAATGCAAAACTCACCTCTTGGAGAAACTAGTGAGACGCAATAGCTGCTTTGCTTTGTCTCTCTCTCTGGAAGTTTGAATTTCGTTACATAAACGCCACGCGACTTAAATCCCACTAAGCGCCCCTGCGATTGGTCCATTCAAGAGACGCAGTCGTTAATTCGGATGTTGCCAGGTAATACATGACGTCACTTCCGGAGATGCAGACTATATGAATTTGCTCACTATATTGCCCCTAGTGTTCAAAACTTATATTGCAGCTGTGATGAGTAGAAAGTTATTTTAGTATATAAAAAAAAACCTAACAAACAAACAAACAAAAAAAACAACCGTTTGGTTAGTTTTGCGCAATGTATAGAAAAAATGTAACAATCCAATCAAATGTCAGCTGTATAGTGGGAAGTGGTGGTGCAGAGGTTAGAGAAGATGAGCCTGTGATCGGAAAGTCGCTGATTCAATTCCCCACTGACAACATTAAAATGTGGGTGGAAAAGGTGAAACACCCACAACTGCCTCCCTCATTTGCCCCACTCTGGGCCCTTGAGCAAGGCCCTTAACCCCTACCATTTGCTCCCAAAAACAGGTCTCTCTTGAAAATTCAAAAAAAAAATTCAAATTCAAAAATACTTTATTAATCCCAAAGGGAAATTATTTGTTGTTGTAACTCGTTATCCTCATTTCATTGAGAGATGTTATAGATGCTGATGGCCGTAGACAGGAAGGATCTCTTGTAAAGGTCCATCCTAAGTGGATCCTAGTGGATCCTAAGAAACTGGCTGCAGATGTCGTCTGAGTCGTCCACCCAGACTCGGCTGGCCTCTCGGTTCCCCCGGGCTGTAGGACCGCTCAAATGCTGGGCAGAACTCCTCCCAGAGCGATGGCCACTCCTCCCAGCAGTCTGCCGAGCTCCTCGTCTCTGCGGACAGCCAACTGTAGGTGCCGAGGGACGATCCTGTCCTTCCACTGTCATGAGCCATGTTTCCTGCTAGTTCCAGGATCTCAGTGGTCAGACACTCGAGCACAGCTGGCAGGTAGATGAGAATGTGTCCACAGAACATCCTTTTCAACTCATCTGCGATTTGGGGCTGTAGTTGAGATATTATTTGAGCTTTTGAGATGTTAATCAGCTGCTGTTGGTTGTAGAAAACTGCCTTGTTGCCATGGTTACGCATCATAACAAATGTCCAAAACTAAAAAAGTTTCAGTAAAAATCCTTCCAGCTGCGCAGCATCCGATACCAGAGGAAACAATCATCCAAAAAATGTGATTTACATCCAGAAAAAGAGGAATTAAAGTTTCCAAAAGCAAAATCTCAGAATGAAAGTAACAGAGCTGCTCCAACATGCAGCCACCTTGAGCGGCGCAATTCTAGAACTCTATTCTAGAATTAGAATTCTATTCTAGAATTCTAGAAAATGAATTCTTGTGACTCAATTCAAATTCAAATTCAAAAATACTTTATTAATCCCAAAGGGAAATTATTTTGTTGTTGTAACTCGTTATCCTCATTTCATTAAGAGATGTTATAGATGCTGATGCTGTAGGCAGGAAGGATCTCTTGTAAAGGTCCATCCCACAGTGGATCCTAAGAAACTGGCTGCAGATGCCGTCCGATCCGTCCACCCAGACTCGGCTGACCTCTCAGTTCCCCTGGACAGTAGGACCGCCTGAATGCTGGGCAGAACTCCTCCCAGAGCGATGATCACTCCTCCCAGCAGTCTGCCAAGCTCCTCATAGCTGTGGACAGTCAACTGTAGGTGCTGAGGGACGATCCTGTCCTTCCGCTGTCATGAGCCGTGTTTCCTGCTAGTTCCAGGATCTCAGTGGTCAGGCACTCGAGCACAGCTGGCAGGTAGATGAGAATGCGTCCACATAACATCCTTTTCAACTCATTTGAGAGTTGGGGCCATAGTT